CCCACCTCACACCCACACCCACCCACACCCCACACCCACACCCACCCACACCCACACCCCACACCAGCCACCCACCCCACACCCACACCCACACCCGCCCACACCCACCCACACCCACACACCCACACCCACCCACACCCTTCCTACAATTCCTATCCAATTCTAGAAATTTGTGTGCAATTCGGTGTGAAACTCGCTAGGATTGGCGTCAGCTTGCTATAATTCTTATGCAATCCCAACAATTCATATTTAATCGATTTGAAACTGGTTAGGCTTGGCTTCAGTTGGCTATAATTCTTACGGATTCCTAAAAATTTATATGGAATCAGTTTCAACCTGGCTAGATGTAGCCAGCTAAAGCCGAGCGTAGCCAGTTTGAAACCGATTCGATATAAATTTCTACCATTCTATGAGAATTATAGCCAAATGAAGTCAAGTCTCGCCAGTTTCAAACCAATTTCATATAAATTTCTAGAGTTCCAAAGGAATTGTAGCCAGCTGACACCAAGCCTTGCTAGTTTGAAAGCAATTCCAGATAGATTTCTAGAATTCCATATGAATGGTAGGCAGCTGAAGCCAAGCCTATCCAGTTTCAAATGAATTCCACAGAGATTTCTAGAATTCCATATGAGTTGTAGGGAATGTGGTTGAATTCGAGCCAATCCCACGCCAGTTCCATAACAAATCTTAAGACTCCATAGGATTTATATCCAGCTCAGGTCAGGTCTAGCCAGTTTTAGACCAGTTCCATACGGATTCCTCGGATTCCTGGGATTCCCTACCAATTTTGGTAACTCGAACCAATTCCAATTCCTGAAATTCCAATTCCAACCAATTCCAGAAATTAGAATTGGTGCATCCCTAGAAAGGATAAATGAGTATCTTAAGACGTTATCATGGCCAGTGGTCATGACAAGTTTTTTTTTCATGAGAACATCATTTATAAAGATTGTTCTGAAAGATCATCATCAACTTCAATAGTAGAATTTACTCTTTTTGCAGTGTTCGAGAAAGCACACATAGAGTGGTCAATAAATATCTTTCGGATTCAACTTGTTCTGAAACTTTGATTTATGGGTCATTCCACCGGATCTCGCCAGGTCGATCCGGCGACCACGTCCAAATTTGTTGAAACTTTCAGGGTTTGTAGAGAATTTTTCGCTGATCATTTTGGTAATAAACTTTTTTAAAATAAACGTTGTTTTCGCAAAGATATAGGTAAAATACAAAAAATGCACTTTCACTTTTTTCAACAAAAAAAAATGAATTTTTTTTCAAAATAGCGATGAAAATCCCACTTTTTTTAATCGAATTTTAAAACCAACCACATATTCAGATTCCTCGTGAAAAACTGCATTAGACTCCGTAGGAATTGAAACAATTTTGACGACTTTTATACGGTCCACTAGATCGCTAAAGAGATGTCCAGTGTTTGAAAAATTCGATCAGAAAGTCAGAATTCATGGAAATAGTGGCACTTGTAGTTCGATAGAGCGAAGCTTGCTCTACAAGATGTACTAGTTAGTTTTCTTCCCGACTCTAATTTTGGAATGAACGAGCGTCAAAACTATTTTCGATGACAATTTTTTAGTCAATTTTCTTAAATTTATCAGTCAAATCTAATTATTTTGCTTTAATATATGTATCCAAATTCCTTAAAATGTTCAGGACTTGTAGAGCTTTTAACGCTGAGTATTTTGGTTCTAAATTATTGAATATTCAACTCTATTTTCATGAACATATAAGTGAAATAATAGAAGCATATATTTTTCCCTTATGATTATTTTGCATAAAAAAATGCATTTTTTTCACAAAAATGAAACTAATAATACCTTAGTATTTGCTTAAGTTCTAAGTCTGATAATGTATTCAGATTGAGCATGGAAAACTGCATTAGAATCTGTACAATATGCATGAACTCTGAAGTACCCATCAAATATTGTTTTGATCCTATGGGATATACATGTAACGGAGAATGAATGGAAAAGACTATAGAATTAATTAAAAAAGGAAATAATCTAAAATAAGGCCTTGATCGATTCATTTTAACTAGCTTCCTTCACAATTCGAATTCTACGGAGAGCAACTTTTGAAAATTTTTATACGTGAATGTTTATAATCTAGAAATCAGTGTGTGTTTAATTTATTTCGTTGAAGTATTTGTCGAAAGCTCGTGTTATCAAATGATGATTCGAAGTTTAAAAAGCTAAATTTGTTTTGTTAGGATCATGTTGAAAAAACATAATCGATTACAAAAATGAATTAATGTCCATCGGTGGTGTTTCGACTAGCAGTTAATCGAGGAGTAGGTGGCATTTTAAATGTATGGATCGTAGTACGAATTGATTGTGAAGTTCGACGACATGAAATGGATCCATTTGTATCTGCATCAAATTGATGCATATCACGAATTCCGGTAATTGAATCTAAAGATAATTAATGTTGTCACAATAAGCTATGCTACTTAAATGATACCTTTAGAAGAAAGTTGACTCCACCGCTGTTTTAAACAGTTTTCGAATTCATTGTTGACGACATCACCGGAGAGCCATCGTACTTCAATAGGACGATTAGGTTCGGGCATCTTAGTTGACATGGATTTCGATCAGTAAATGAAAGAATTCAATGCTAATAGCATCCAAAAAAAAAACAAAACATTCTACACAGAAAAAAAGTAGTGGGAGTAAAATTTTCAATGCTAAAATTTATATAAAATTATGCCCCCTTATTTCTGAGAAGGTTAGGCGGTAAAGGGGGTAAAATTTTCTGTGCTAAAATTTATATAAAATTATACCCCCTTATTTCTGAGAAGGTTAGGGGGTAAAGGGGGTAAAATTTTTCTAGGCTAAAATTTATATAAAATTATACCCCCTTATTTCTGAGAAGGTTAGGGGGTAAAGGGGGTAAAATTTTCAATGCTAAAGTCTGTGTGAAGCTTTTAACAGCTGCCTCTTTCTAGAAAAGCATGAGAATAACTTTTCCTAGATGAAAGACTTAACCATCTTTATATGATGTTCTCTAAGAATATTCCCGAAAACTCGATTATGTCCTAGGGTAGAAGATATAATGATGTATAGGGATAGGAGGGATAGGAGGTATAGCAGGTAAGCAGGTATAGGAGGTATAGGTATGAGTTGCCTAATTTGAGTTCGAAAATAAATGGAGAGCTAAATGATTGTTGTAACTTCGAAAATAAATGAAGAAAAAATGTTTCATGTTAAATTAGCAAAAGAAGTAAGAAATAGATTTCTATATAAATTATAATTTATGAAGTTCGCAGGCAGTCATATTAAAATATGAAAACAGAAAGTATGTGAAACTTCAAATTTGAATTTAATTAGAGCTTTGAAGTATGAACTTAAACTTAATTTTAGCAAGCTTCAAGTTTGAAATTTCAATTTTCTACTCTCAAGTTTCAAACCGAAAACACTTAAAAGAATCATGCCTGTCTAAACCTTACGCACACACATCACTGCAGCATGTGAGAATGATGCAAAAGAAGTTCCATCGATAGCGACTAACACAAACCCACACCCACACAATCACCGAAAGTGTGGATGCGGCGAAAGGAGTTCCATCAAGCGCGACTAACAAAAACCCACACCCACACCCACACCCACACCCACACCCACACCCTCTATTTATCCGATTTTCACAGCTAAGTGATTTTGTCAAAATGCGGAATACCTGTAGGAATAGTTTTATTAGTTGTTCTTTTTTATAACAACGAATTTTCAATTGATATATAGTATCGTTTATAAAAAAAATTCTTCTTCCTTTAATCTTCACCGATAACCGCAAATAGAATTCATATTTAGTATGCTGTGAAAAAAAATATCTCTACACATTCTCAAAAACGTGCCGATCAAATTTTATATAGATTTTAGCATTAACATTTTACCCCCTTTACACCCTAACCTTCTCAGACATAAGGGGTATAATTTTATATATACACTAGCATTGGAAATTTTACCCCCTTTACCCCCTAACATTCCCAGAAAGAAGGGGGTATAATTTTATATATATATTAGCATTGAAAATTTTACCCCCTTTACCCCCTAACCTTTCCAGAAAGAAGGGGGTATAATTTTTATATATATATTAGCATTGAAAATTTTACCCCCTTTACCCCCTAACC